TGGGAATATATATGTGTTTGTTTTTCGCCCCCCGTCTTGCTGCACCCCCTGGGGTGTGGTGCAGGGCGGGGGATGCCTGGTCGGCGGGAACCCGGCACGGAACCCTCCGGCGTTGTAGGCGGGTGTGGGAAGCGTTCCCCGTTCTCCTTTTATTTTATTTTGATCGGTCCCCTCGACGCTCTTTCTCGTTTGGTGCGGTAGCTGGTCTTTTTTTCTATCATTTTGCTTCTCTTCCGAGTGGTTTTTGTACCCTATTTTTTTCTGTTTCTTCGTGGGGTCGTGTATGCCGGGTTTTGAGACCACGGGCTCCCAATCTTTTTTTTTTAGAGCTAATGTGAGAAACAACAACAACAACAACAACAACAACAACAACTGCGCAGCTTCAAGTAGGAGGAGGTCTGCATCATCAGGAGACGATGCTGGAAAGCGGTCATGTGGTGGGTACAAGACCACCTCACACAACAGTGGGGAACACTACGAGCACGGAGGGCCACAATCAGAGAGGGGGAAACAACGCATTCTTGTTTGCGTTGTGCGTTGCTCTCGCGCTGCTACTGAGAGTGAGAAACTGATGCCGGACACCTACACGATCATCGGATGCTGGAAAGCGGTCATGCGGTGGGTACAAGACGACCTCACACAACAGTGGGGAACAGTACAAGCACGGAGGGCCACAGCCAGAGAGGGGAAAAAAACGCATTATTTTTAATGTCGTGCGTTGCCCTCGCGCTGCTACCGACGGTGATAAACAGATGCCGGACGCCAAAAGCCGTTGGGAAGAATTCGAGGGGGGTTTCATGCGCTAAGTCGGGAGCCATGTAAAATTACAGCAGTATATCGATATGAAGAAGTTTGGAGGAGCCAGGGGTCGCCTGGCCGGAATTGCCGGAGACACAGCGGTTTTCCATCTGGATTCACCGCAAAACGCCATAAAACCGCTGGGGCTTGCTGGGAAATATCCCCTGGAACTACAGCAGTGTAGTGCTGTCTCTCGGACGCAGGAATTTCGGGTCGCTTCGACAGCAAGCCGGAATCGATCGTCGGGGCATCACCTTCGCGATTGGACCACGTCCGTCTAAAACAAAAAACCTGGGGGTTTCTCGGAAAAAAGCTCCTGGGACTACTACAACAGCGCGTCCCCCGGACGCCGGACATCGGACGCCGGAACTTAGGGTCGCTTCGACAGGAAGCCGGAATCGATTGTCGGGGTATCATCTTCGAGATTGGACCGCATCCATCTGAACAAAGAACGCTGGGGGTTGCTAGTATGTTGTTTCTGGAACACTTACAGAGCTATCGCTTGGGTACCGTGAAATCGCCCGGTCGCTTCGACAGGAAGCCGGAATCGATCATCGGGGAGATGTCTCCGAATTTGGATCGCAAACTTGTACTACGAAAAACCGCTGGGGGTCGCTCGAAAGACACATTCCGGGATTCCTACGACGCTGTCGCTTTTCGAGGGGAAGACGGAATCAACCATCGGAGGAAATGTCCTCGGGTTTCCGGGTTTGTCGCTTGGACGCCGTTAAGTCGCCGGATCGCTTCGACAGGAAGCCGGGATCAATCGTTGGGGGAAATATCGCGGGGTTTGGACCGCAATGCAACATCGCTTCGGATTGCGTCCTGGACGCCGGAGGATCATCAATATTAATCTGGGGACGGCGGAAAGCATCGAGCGTGGGTTCGCACTAACATCTAAGGGGAAAGATCGCCCTGCCGAACGCATTGAGCAATGGGAACGATTGTCCTGCTGAATGACATGAATAATTAAGTATATTAATAGTGAAAAGGGAAGGCGAGAGGCTTCAAAGACTTGCAAGTTTGTTTGTAGCAAGCATTCATGACATGCATCAAGTAAAAGTAATCACGTGAGTAAGGAACGGTGCAGGAGGCGAAATTACGCTGTTCGTATTTCAGTCAGATCCCAAGAAGCTGTGAGCCCAAGCACTTGTTAAGCAAAGAATGCTTCATGATATTTGTCAAAGCTGAGTTGTTGCTTAGCTGAGAAGGATTGATCAACCATTCATCGTATTGAAGCAAGCGGATTCAATTGTCAAGTGTTCATCAATGGGGTAATGAAACTTTGTTGCCAAACGTCATGTGTTTCCACATGTCAAAGTGGAGACAACTTTCCAGAGAGCAAAGTAGGAATGATTTATTGAGAAGTCATTTTCGGTATGAATACTATTTTTGTCAAGGGTATCTCGTAGCACCAAGTATCGGTAGAGCGAGTAGCATTCGATTTTGAATTGTTAACCGTTTGGTCTACTGTAGGTTACTTCCATCGAGGGGTCGTGTCAGGGAAATTCACGTGTCCACGGAGACAGTAGTCAAGTTATATCCCTTCCGTGTTCGCTGCAGGCAAGATGGACAAAAGTAGTCGGGAAGACTCTGTGTGCACACAAGGTCTGTAGCATGCTGTCGAATGGTATCGGTATCCGCAGCGAAGAGTAGCCAGCAGACGTGCAGATAAAGTAGAGCAGAAACCACGTGCTGTGCTAACGCGTTCCCGTACGGGTCTCTCAGCGAACGGTCAGAATCGTGGTCGGGGGAACCCCGATGGCCGGTTGACTAGTCGGGGTCTCCAACAGTAGATATTGTTTATATTGGCTTAGTGATCGAGAGCTGGCCCGCGCGCTCACTCTCTCACTCTCAACTTCTACCATCAATACCTGGCCTTGGAGTCAGTAACAACGACATCTTGTATCTCATCGCTCCGAGAGTCACCGAGTTGCGTAAGAGCACTCAGTAGTGTTCCACCTATCGCACACAGCAGGTTGTCTTGCTTTTCAGGGAGCACGTGCGGCAAGCTCTCCAAAGCGGCCCAGCCCGACGCGCTACCGCTGCAAGCTTATCACCAATAACATGCGCAAATTTTTCTCCAGTTCCTTTTGTTTTCATGAAGCCGAGCCTCGGATGAAATACGTTTCAATTCAATTCAATTACTTGATGTGCGTTTGTAGGATAACATTCATGAATACATCGCAGAAAAATGCGCGGGGGGAGGGGAGGCACCATGACGTACATTCAAGAATCGGAGAGTACTTGGGGGGTCCGCGGTTACACAAAGTAAACCTTGTGTATCTACCAGTATTTTCTCACTTCCGAGTTATCAGTGAAGGTGGAGTTCCTGAGGATGACAACAGGTCCAGGCTCGTCGACATCATCACCCGGAAAGCCTTCCCTGGACGACATTGTCACCACCCCTCCCTTGCAGGATCGGTTGAGAGGGGGGGGGGAGTTGGGCGTTGTTTTGGTTCTCGTGGGAGGTGGTGCAGGGCAACGGTTCGGTTTGGAGAACTTGCTTTCTCAGCTGTAGAACGACTACAGGAGTAGCAGACGAAGATGACTGGTAGAGACAATAGCAATGCTCTTGATATGAGCGGTAGTTGGCTAAGTTGGCAATGACGGCAGCCACCGCAAAGGAAGCAATAGTATTTAGCAGCAGCAACAACAACAACGCCCCATGTAAACACTATCACCGCCAAGAAGCACTTGTACCTACCACTGCCGCTACCCCCACCACCACAACGCAATGCAACCCTCCCCCCTCGAAGACCAGCTCAGATGATCGGTCCTGCGGGAACCAATGCTTAATCCTCTCGAGGACGCGTGGTCAAAAAGCAAAGGCACGCCAAAAAACACGGGACGCCCGCCCTTCCGGCGTGCTCCATCGTGGCTTTGTCGGGAAGAGAGGTCAGTCAGTGGTCTAACGACTACGGCACGCACGGCTGTGAGTACACCCCTCCCTCGAAAAAGACCAGCAGCTCACCTTCTTGCCGCAGTAGTTGTCCGTAAGCAGGCTGTCCGCCACCAGCAGGGTGATACCCCAAGCTACCGCCACGGCGCCCCCTTCCCCCTGCGGGTCGTCCTCTATCTCCAGGCCAGTCTCGCTCTTCTCTACCGTGCACCGGTGAAGCTCGATGTAGGTAGAATCCCCATCGCTGCCGATGACAATGGCGCCCCCCTTGTTGGGAGACAAGTCGGATCCGCACATCCCAACCGGAAAAATGTTTCGTCGCCGTGGGGGGGGGAGTTACTGATGTTCAGCACGCCGTAGTCATTAAGACCATTGACCACGTTCCGTCCTCGCGAGGACGGAGCGGGGAGGGGGTGGTGTACTAAAGAAAACGCATGCTGTAGTGGTCAAGACCTTGCCCTCGTGTCCCTTCGTCGCCAGGACGAAGGGATATGCCGGGTTTTCACGGTCCAGGCTACGCTGCACAAGGATGGATTAAGACGCTGGCCATTATCCTTGCGTGCGGAACCTTACTGTTGCTTGCTTCAACCTCGTCGACCCCTGATACGAAAAAAATGCTGTGCTTTTCGCCACTCGTTTAAACAGAAGCTACATATATATTTCGCTTCCAAATTTCCAACTCCGCAGAAAAAAGAACTTGATATGCGGCCGGAGGAAAATATAGAACTTTCAAAAATTGCAGGGTAGTCCTCGGGAAAACTCCCGAGGTTTTGTTCCCGTCGTGTAGGTCGGTCCCGGTACTCCGCGGGAATACCGTCATATTTAGCAATACCGTGAACCGCCAAAAGTGGTACCGTAAGAAAAACGAAGTATCGTCAACCGCCAAAGAAGGACCGTCATTTTGCAAAACCGCCGAAAATGTACTACCGTCAAATATCGGAGTACCGTCAACCGCCAAAAGTGGTACCGTCATATTGCGGTACCGTCGAAAAAGTACCGTAAAAATAACAAGTACCGTCAACCGCCAAATAAGTACCATTATACTGCGATACCGTCAATAGGTATCGAGAGGAGTCCGCCAGCATCATTTACTGGTCATTTTTTTATTTGTTGACGTGTCGAGAGAGGAACTGGAGTTCAACTCCGGCATCCTGTGTTTTTTGGCTTTTTTTTTTTGCTTTTTATTTTTCTTTGCTTGACTTCGTTTGGTTCTATCGAGCTGGTTTGTTGGTTTTCGGTAGAACCTGTTTTTTTCTGCTTTGTGGCCTTTGGCGTTGATAGTCGCAAGACCGCGGCCTGCAGCCACGCACGCACACACACACGCGGTCCCAGAGTGCGTGCGGTCCAGCAGAACCAGAACGATGGCAGTTGTACAGGGGAAGTCCGGCAGTACTAACAGCAGTAGTGTCAAGGGTGCTGATGCTGCTGGCGATTCGTTGGGTGGGAATGCAAGTGAACCGGTGGCTAAGAGCGTGCAAGTATCGCAAAGCCCAGCGGAGACTCAAGCCTCGGCGACGCTGGCAACGGCAAAACTGTGCAAGTCACACTTTTCTGCTATTTTTCTTTTTTTCTTTTCTTGTTTACTGGTTTTCTTGTTTTCTTTTTTTGTCGAGAGTACCAGAGTACGCGTTGTCGTCGTGGCATGTTGTTCCTGGTTTTCGATCGCATCGATGTGTCCATCTGTTTTCTTTTCGTGTTGCATGTTTCCGCGTGGCTGCTCAGTTTTCAGTTTCTCAATTTGACGATCTGATCATATCTCGATGGCGTGGTCTTTGAAGGAAATACCGTCAACCGCCAAAAGCACCGTCATTACCGTCATTTAGCAGTACCGCCAAACAGGTACCTTCAAATACCGGAGTACCGTCAACCGCCACCGTCAAAAAACGAAGTACCGTCAAACCGCGAAAAAACTACCGGCATTTTGCAAACCGTCCCGTTTTGTGTCCGTCAACAGCACTGGTACCGAGGACTACCCTGAATAAAATAAAATAAATTGGAAACTACTCGGACCCAAAATCTTGGATTAACGAGTTGATTCCAAACTTTTTGAAAGTGTTGGCATCTGCAAAATCGGAATGTGGAAATTTGGAAGCAAAACAGATGTGTTTGAAACGGTCCTTATCCGCACGAACTCACAAGGCTACTACAAGGCTAGACCGGCAATAAGAACACATATTAATGCACCCTATGTACTACGGCATTTGCATCAAATAAGACCGACGGTGATGCCTCCCCCGCATGACGAATCTACGAACATTCGGAAAAAAAACACGTCGCCGAAATGACCGCCTCACAAATCCCGAAATCGTGAAAACTATGGGAAAAAATCGTCCGCGAGACACCCGCGCCCTTTTCACCTGCCCGAAAGAAACAAGACCCCAGTAACAACACAAAAACATGTGCTGCTCGGCGAACCGTAGAAAGACAAGTTGGCCACCATCTGGACAACACAATGAAGTCATTGCAAATCTATCCTGGCCTATTTCATCTGTACAAGAGCGGAATTCCTTGTATTCATATACCGAAGACGACGGTTTCGACGTACCTTCCTTGCGGCCTACGTCGTTCTTGAAGAATACGGTGTCATTGGCCCCGCAGGCCGCCAAGCGGTCAAAAGAAGTGTTGCACGTGGTGAAGGAGATGGCGCCGCCCTCCCCGATCTCGTCATCTGGCCACCAACACAAAACAAGGCAACCGTGCGATAAATCATCGCTCGAGACATGGCTTCATTCGTGATCAAGATATGATGATGCCATCCGCACGGTTTCAATCATGATCAATATCCTACATGAGCCACATGTATGTATGGTTTAACTCATGATCAAAATCTAATATGATAATGTCGTTTGTACAGATTGAGGAATTGTCCATATAATCGGATGAAGTTGTCACGCCATTGGCGAAGGAGAAACACATTTGCAGGACACGACTTCAGTTGCCGGGCGGACAGACAGATAGCGACGCGGCAGGCGGAGGAGGCGGAGGACAGGGGAGGATGATCGGGCCGGCGGAGGAACAACCGGGAAGTCAGTGGCCTGTGCCTAGAGAGAGAGAAATTTTCTAGCGACAAAACATCTTCAAAGCGATCGATACAAACTGGGCAAGGCGGTTAACAAGATACAACTTGAAAAGTTCATGGAGTCTCTGGAGCACCTCCCTCAGGAGGCGGTACCCTAGAGAGAGAGAAATTTTCTAGCGACAAAACATGTTCAAAGCGATCGATACAAACTGGGCAAGGCGGTAAACAAGATACAACTTGAAAAGTTCATGGAGTCTCTGGAGCACCTCCCTCAGGAGGCGGTACCACCCACGAGGGACAACCCCTACGGAGGTCAAGAGGCCAGGAACATGGCATACGCACGAACGAGAAGCTCGCAAGGGCAAGGGGGACACGCGTTCCTGAGAGCGGCTCCCACCGACCGAGCTCGAGAGATTCCATCGAACGAATTCGTCTACGCCACGAGATGCGCCTTGGGAGTTGAAGAATTCTTGGCGGAAAGATGTCCCGGGTGCCATAGAGGCAAATAATGCGAGATCATCACAACGGTGCACGCAAGGACCTGTCCAAGGGATGGAGCNCTCGGCGAGTGCAGAGGTACAAGCTCGCATTGCGCGGGCGTCAAGACGCCGAAAACAGGCGAACAAGATCGACCTCGGACCAGTCAACGCCAATGATATGGGGATGGAGTGTAGACGCATCGTAGAACTCGTTTTCGTTTGAAGTTGGCGCCTTGTTTGAGAGTAGATGTGACAGATTTGCGTAGAATAGGGTAAGATGTTACCATGAACGGAGAAGAAAGGGCTTTTCCAACACGGAGATGTAGCATGGATCAAAGTGTTTGTTGGATTTCAGCTTTTACAAGAGGACATCAACGCAGGTAGTATTTTAGCAAGCTTTTGAACGCATGTAGGATACCATGAGGATTGTCATTGGTTTTATTTCAAATTGAAGAGGAGATATTTTTACGATGTAAGTGACAGTAGAAATAAGTCCTACATATGTTGTTGTACTTTGTATTGGTTTAAAAGTCATGTAGAGTATGAGACATTAAGTGAAAGTTTTCTGAGGTACATGTGCAAGTGTCGGAAGGCAAAAAAAAAAAATCGACATCCAACGACCATGCAAGTACAGCGGGTGTCCGGGTATATGTTGTGTGTTTTCGTCCAATTGATTATGGCGTCACTTCCCCCTTTTTCGTTGTGAGACGTGTACAACACTTTTTCAGCGTACGTAGAGTACTGCGCTTCTCAGTGTATTTTTTCGTACTACTACAACCATCCAGGGTGACACAGGAGGGGGTGAACACCAGGGCTTTTTTCTTCTTTTATATATTTTCATTCCCCACCTCCTTCCTCCTGCGGTGCGTGCTGAATTTTTATTTTATCGCGAGAAGGGTCCAGCCGTCCCTTTCCCTCGTCAACGGTGCCAACGTCGAAGTTAGGTACTCACGAGAGCTGTTCAGCTATGTTTCGCTTTCACCCGCAAAATAAGCCAGTTTTTTACTCCATGGGGATCCGAATTCACGACCTCTGCGTCCAGTGGTTTACGAGGATACCTCTAGACCACCCGGGCGACCGGCGATTAGTGCCGGTTGAATAGTGCCAAAGTCCGGAATAGTGCCGGTAAATTTTCTTGACACAGACACAGGCATGAATGGTTGGCCGGTTCAGGCACTATCGAACCCCTCAATAGTGCCGGTCCACACCCCTCACACAGCCTTTTTTCGCCTCAAGCCTTCCACACCAACAGGATTCGGAGATGGTTTACCTTCAAGCTACAAGTTTAGCTCGGTTTCTGCCAGGACGCGTAACGTCTTCAAATGCCAGGGTTTACTGATCGACCAAATTCCATTACACAGCAAATCCAGCCAATAGCTTGGGATTGGAGTAGTGAGGCGGGCGAAGAGGAAGATGGTGGTAGTGACGAAGGATGGGTGTGAAAATAATGTCGAAGGATAGGAAAACCTGACCTTAGGAGGAACAAGAGTGTCGAGCCAGACAACCTTCCTCATAACAAACGCAGGGGGGCAGAGTCTAGAGATGAACACCCGAAAATAGTGGAAATATTGGTGACGAGAGCAGTGGTGGTAAAAAGAAGGACAAGGATAAAAACACTCCGAATACGAACGCGTGTTCGAAGTAGTAGCCTTGGCAGACACGCGCAGTTCTCCTCTGTTGCTGCCGGTTCTGTTTTATATCCGGAGAATAGCCCAGCCTCCTCCATGACACCCTCTCACGGGGTCCCAGATCAGGGCCCTGAGAACCGTATACTTTCTGTTTTCAACCGCATTGAGAATGACGTATATTGGTTGGCCAGTCGTTTTTCTTCTTGTGAAGGCTTTGATCTCCTGTCTATCTAATTATTTTTCGAAGGAACAGCGGACTTTGATATCATCTTCACCCCTTTCGGTTGGATCTGCTTTTGTATTGCTCATGTAAGGAGCACTACATCCATGTTGTACCTCCAAATGTAAATCGGGTGCGTGCATGGGCGCCTTTCTTTGGCTCTCCAGGGGTGCCTTTGAGGTTGCCTGAAAAGTGCTACGGCCTTTTTCCCACAACAATACATCATTTGGTAGCTCGTTGCCTTTTGATCGGGCAGCACGGTCTCCGGTTCAAAGGCAGCGACGACGTTCACTACCCTAGGGTGTGCGCTGAGGTGGGAAGAGAACCATGGTGCAACAAATTTATCTGGTCAAGTTAAGCTGAATGTGACGAAAGCCGTGTTTTCGATAGGCTACATAGCAGCCTCACGAAACTTAAACAAGCCCGCCAACGTCGCCCATTACAATTGATCCGTATACCATTCGTTTCGTACTCTGTCAGCCCCGCAACCCGTAAGTGCTGCACCCTGAAGTTGGGTAGTCCTCAGTAATAGTGCCAAGCCGGCACTATTGAAGGAGTTTTTGACCCTGAAAAGTGCCGGCTTGGGACTATAATGGTACCATTCTGAACAGTGGCGGTGGTCAATATAGTGCCGGTCCACCCCCCTGAACACATACCGGCACTATACGGGGACACCTACTGTAGTTCCCCACTTGTGACTCGCTGAATACCTCACGGCGCTTCGCGCTTGGTGATATGATAGCCTGGTCCTGTGGGAACAACGCTGCCTTTGTCCTCTTGAGGACGCGTGGTCAAAGGCCTAACCGCTAAGGGATGAAATATATGAGAACGTCTCCTCCCCTCCTGCAACCTCACTGTCTTCCCTGTTGGCGCTCCCAGCCGTGTTGTTGTAGAAGACCGAGTCCAGCACCGATATCTGCCCCATCCACTGGTGCATGCCGCCCCCTTTCTTGCTGGCGAAGCACTCCTCGAACAGGCAGCCGTCAATAAGCACGTCGGTGAACTCCGTCTGATACAAACGAAAACGATGAAATTTTGGTCCGTAAACGCTCCCCACAAAAGGTCGTGTAATATTGGTATTCCTGGGAGTTTTTAGGGACCAGAGGACAAGGAAGTTGTCATGAAGCTGGCAGACTGCTATTAGTGCCGTGGTTCGAACAACGGTGGAACCCTTTGTCCCAGAATTCGACCCCCTCTCCGCTTTGTACTGTTTGGGGTGCTCGGCAGAGTACTCCGTTGTCTTCGAGGTTTCCGGGGGTTATGCGGAAGATTATATAGTAGATGGACACGACCCGCGGGGACCCTCTTGCCTCCCTGATGTATGTCACTGCGAACAAATTATGCAAAATTCTTGAGTTTACTATATTTTTTCGTTCGTCCCCTGACGAAGCTGCTGCACAGCAAACATACCGCAGGTGACGAAAGATACCACACCTCCTGGATCGGTGTTCACAGCTCCCACTACTCCACGACGATGTACAAGTCCAACGACAGCAAAAGTTTTCGGAGGGCTCTTGAAGAGACGGTTCCATCTTGGGCTCCGCCACTCTTTTCATTTCTTCTACGGGAAATCGAACTTTAAAATCAGTCGGGGGTGTGTGGAATCTTGCGTCAGCTACGGTAGTCGCTCGTCTACACAGCAGTTTGGGCCCGCGTTTAACACAGCTATTTGGGGTCACGGTCAACAAAGCATATGGTGCAGGACCCACGGCTGAGAGTGTGTTTCTTCGCCGATTTTTCTCCAACATCTGACCCTTTGTTCGCTAACTGTGCTACCCCGCCAAACCTCAACCCGATCGCGCCGCCGGCCCCGTCGATGTCCTAGTCCCCCGGCAAAGGCACCTCCCCGGCCTCGCACCGGCGGAATACGGACCCGCGCACGACCAAGGTCGAACCGTTCGCAAAGATTCCTCCGCCTCAGTAGTCGGCGTAGTTCTCCTCAAAACTCGCACCCGGTGACGGTCACGTTGGAGTCGATGGCGTGAACGCCTCCTCCGCTGGTCACCACGGTGGCGATGGCGGTTTCATTGACGCCGGAGGTGGTTGTGCTGTTGGCACCGTCGTCGGCGGCGTCCGTGCTGGCGGTGTAGGTGAACGAGCCCTTGGAGTTGGACGTGTAGCCCCCGCGGACCGCTAGGCTGTCGAGGAAGAGCTGTCCGCCATCGACGAAAAAGAGCGGTCCCGTCGGTGTCGTTGTTTCGACCTCTTCACCCTCTTGCGTATTGGAGGGGAAGGAGGAGGAAGAGTTGCCGCTCGAGGATGTGCCGCTGCTGCTGGCAGTCGTTGTCGAGGCCGCCGCGAAGGTTCCCATCGCGACGGAGGTGAGGCCGTTCGGCAGCAGGGGCAGCCTATTCGACAGCGCTTCCACCCACTCCTGGTCTCTCTCAACGCTGCTGCTTGTGCTGCTGCTGGTGGTGCTAGAACTGCCGCTGCTTCCAGCAGCAGCACTCGAGTCGCCGGCGGCGGCACTGCTGCTCCTGCTACTGGGCGTGGTGGCGTTGCTACCGCTGCTGCTGTTGCCGGGCTCGCCGAAGATGCGCACCGTCGTCCCGCGGCCGATGTAAATCGTCCCTGGAACGGCAACCTCGCCCGACCAGGACACGTTGAACTCCCCGCCCTCGCAATCGAAGAGGCTCAAGAGCTCCTCCCCGTCGCTTTCCGGCGTAACCGTCACCTCCTCCGCCCCCAGCCCCCCCGCCGCCGCGCAAGGCGCCGCCATCACCCCCATCCCGAGGGGTACACCCCCCGCCAGCACCGCGGAGCCCCCCCCCCCCCCCCCCCCCCCCCCCCCCCCCCCCCCCCCCCCCCCCC